TATTCTGTGGACTAGAGGTCAAGATATTTTAGCCTCTTCAGCATCAGTAGTCACCATTTCCTTTTTTTTTAGTCTGTCTTTAATCGTTTAACTCTGCATGGTCATATTTTAGCGCTCTCTGTGGTTAATAGATCAAGCACGAGCCCTTTCTGAGCCCTGCGTGTCCTTTGCATTCATTTTCTCCCTTGTTTACTTTTTATTTCACTGCTTTTCTTCAAAAAGACAGATATTTCTAATGGCTTGTATGATGCAAAACGTCATTTTCAATTTTCGCCAAAGCCACTGCTGACTGAATTGAAAGTAAGCACAAGTCTCTTTGTCTTTACAGAAGCTGCTCGTCACCAGAGGAAACAGAAGAACACGAGGAGCTGTTAACACCGAGCTATCAGAAAAGCCACAAGAAACTGTAAATTCCCATTTCTTTACCCCTCTGAAACTTTGACTGTGTGTGAAAATTCGTACATGGACGGATATATCGCACTGCAGCTCTTTCTGCATGCCTGCTTGCTCTTGTGGGTTCACATGCCGTTTTGTGGTTTCATGCACTTATTTCCGGCGGTTGTCCATGTGACTCTAAGCGTGTCTGAGAAAAGTTTACTTATGGTATCCTCTAACTGATAAGAATCAATTAGCTCTTTAAACTATGGTTCTATGTTGCTCATCAGTACACAAAACGCTTTAGGTCTGTTATTTAGACACTTAAGCAGACGTCAGCAGAAAGGGTCACATCTAATTTGCTTAAATTTGGCAACTTTTGAACAGAAATCTGTTATATACAAATGTACTAAGATAAACCACAAGGTTATAAACCGCTCACTGACAGCAGTTAGTGAGTGATGCACAGACTAAAGTGACTGTGGTCTGTCCATAGACTGTATGTAAAAGATGGATGTGACTTGAACCTGAAATCTTCCTAATGGATGACAGGGGCGACTACTTATGTAACAAAAAGAAACCTGATGGTCTGTGACAAAAACAAACCTACTGCTTAGTTCCTTAATGAATTTAGTAAACACTTTCCCGATGACTTTACGGTCTCCATACCTAGTTTCAGGTCTTGCTTGTTGCAGCATAATTTTTGTTTTATAACTAAATAACTGAGAACTATTCTGTTGAACTTACACCAAGAAATTCTGATTGTTTTACAGCCCTGGGTATTTGTGTGGCATTTACTTATAGCATTACTCTGGAAAGTTAACATGTTTTTTTTTCGGTGCGCGGTTACTCAAACTTCCTCCAACAGTCCAAAGATATTCTTTGCTAAGTTGATTCTAAATTGGCTGTAGGTGTGAATGGTTGTTCGGGTCTCTGCGTTAGCCCTGCAGACTGACAACCAGTCGAGGGTATATCCCAGCGTTACCAGATACTGATGGTTTCCAGCCCAAAGCCTATTTAAAACCACCACTATACTCACAAAGCTGCCCAAGATATTGTTTTACGTTTAGTTTTAATCACCGCTGCACGGCATCGTATTCAGAAAATCCAGTGCCCGCAGGAGTCACACAAAAACAATCCTTAAATCAACAAATAACAGCGAAGTCTTACAGACAGCTTGATTCATCATGTCTGATTAGGGCTCAGATTTACTAAGCAGAATAACTTGTGTGCGCAATCCCCGAATAGCCTTCATAGGTTCAGTTAGTTAGTTAGCTCCAGCAGAGACAATTATATTTACTGACGATAAACCAGAGCATAACGTGATTATCCGTGTTTTTATCTTGCAGAGAGTACTCCAGAGGCACAAAGCGAAAATCATTAGAGGTATGTAAATTTGTTTGTTTCTTATCTTTGTTGTGTTTTTCTCACCGACAGTAAAGGTCCCGTACTGTATCTCACAGGTGCGTTCTGCTGTTTTCATTGCAGGTGTCTGAGGTAGAGGAACAAGTGTCTAAACATCAAATAGTCTTACGGAGTTCATCTAAGCCCACCAAAGTGGAAAACGCAGATGAACTCACAGATCTAAATGACACTTTCGCGAATGACGATGCGGAGTCAGAGTCGGACACGGACACGCAAACGCAGGAGGAGGCCGCTGGAAGAGACACGGTCACTAAAAAGAAGAATGAAATTGCAAAAGGAGCGTCGCCCAAGGAAAATGAGATAAGTGACAAGAGGCTTCAGGATGAAGAGAGCGACAAAACGGAAAACGCAGACATGGAGACAGAAGAGGAGGAGCACTTAGAAACTTTAAGGTGGGGAAAGATTGAATAAAATAAAAAAGAGAATCTAATTCCAGTCTAATCCAAGTGTATTGATGCAAACTTGTGCTTTAGATAATGGTTGGATATAGTGTAGTAACTAATTTATATATATA